TACAGGCACGCACCACCATGCCCAGCTAATTTTTTGTAGCTTTAGTAGAGACGGGGTTTCACCATGTTGACCAGGATGGTCTCGATCTCTTGACCTTGTGATCCACCCGCCTCGGCCTCCCAAAGTGCTGGGATTACAGGCTTGAGCCACCACGCCCGGCTGATGTGATTTTATTATGCTGGCTAGGCTGATCTTGAACTCCTGGCCTCAGGTGATCCACCTCCCTCGGCCTCCCAAAGTGCTGGGATTACAGGTGTGAGCCGCCACACCCAGCTGGCTGTTCAGTCTTCTCTGTTCCCACTCCTCACACCATGCAGGGCAGTCTAAAAACCTGAAAGTATCATATAACATGAATATACTGTGAAACGGAGTCACTGTTGTGTGCTGCGCATTATGTAAAAAGAAAGGCAGTCCTTGTTAGTCACGGAGCTTTCACGCTAATGACAGAGCTGTTCAGCAGTGAACCAGTAAATGATCACAAAATGCTGAGTGCCAAGGAGGACTGAAGGTAGGGAGTGGGGAGAGATCCTGTGAACTGTGCCTACTCAGGGACCATCAGGCATCTGAAGGGAAGGCCCAGGGGGCTACAGTGCAGCAAGCACAGGGCAGCGTCTGAAGTTAGAGAGCCAGGAGGGCCTACACCACAGAGGTCTTACATGCAGTGGCAGGGATGTTTTAAATTTAATTTTATTCAGAGTAAAATGGAAAGCCAAATTGATCTTCTTTGACGATAATGCATACTAAATTTAGAACGTTGTTTGTTGAAAAGTTGAAGGATTTAAAATAAGGGTTTTTTTTTTTTTTTTTTTTTTTTGATTTGAAGTGTGCCTCTGTCGCCTAGGCTGGAGTGCAGTAATGTGGCCTTGGCTCACTGCAACCTCCGCCTCACGGGTTCAAGCAATTCTCCTGCCTCAGCCTCCCAAGTAGCTGGGAATACAGGCGTGTGCTACCACACCCGGCTAAGTTTTGTATTTTTAGAAGAGATGGGGTTTCACCGTGTGGTCTCAAATTCCTGACTTCAAGTCATCCACCAACCTCTGCCTCCCAAAGTGCTGGGATTACAGGCCTGAGCCACCATGCCCAGCCTAAAACAAGGTTTCGAGTCAGCTGAGGGATTATTACATTGTTGGATCCCACTGAAAATTGGTACTTAGAGTTAACAGCAAGCAGTTGAGAAACAAAAAGATGTTTTTGCCGTAACAGCCAGACAGCGTTCTTTTCTTTCTGTCACTCTCATTTATTTATCTCTTGGTGTTTTTCTTCCCTTTCATTCATGAGCTTTACTGTCATTTTCAAACAGGGAACGCCCTGTTTGCTACCAGGCTGTACTTAACCATGCTGTGCTACATGGATCCATGTGTTAAGATTTCACTGCATGAAAACATGCGCTCTTTTCCAGCTCCCGATGGTCACATGGGAGACAGTGGGCGAGGCAGGTACTGGCTGGTCATGTAGCCGAATAGGGGTTGTTTCTGTTTGCTTACTAGGTCACTTGACTTGCTTTATCACATACTTTTAAAAATGCAAGTTTGTTTTTAAATCAAAAACTCATGACAAATAATGTTTATTTGTATTTATCAGAGCTTGCAAGTTATGTCACTGGTCTTCTGTGAAGTAGAAGACTTCACAGTTTTACGGTGTTATTTTGCTAAATAGAATAGTACTTTGAAATCAAATGAGGATTTTAAGACATTCTTATGTATTCTACAGATTGAAGAGGAAAAGAAAAGAACTGCCCGAACAGACTACTGGCTACAGCCTGTGAGTATTGAGTTGAAGTTTCTCAAGTTCTAAACGTATATTTGAGTGAATGATTTAAGTAACATTTTGTATAAGTAACTAAACTTTTCAAACATGTGCAATCTATACCAATAGAATATGAATTATAACTTACAATGACTTTTCTTCCTGTTAGATCTTTAATCACTGGTTGCATCCCTATTGGAGGTTACTTCATGTTTATAGACCAATAACATCCCTTAAGTTTAGTGCTCAATTTGTTTATGGACATCTTGAATTTAAGCCTGGAATTTTCAATTTTTGCTATAGGACAAAAGGTTGTGTTTTCAGAAATGACATCAAAAAGTAGAACTGTAAATGCTCAAGTGTTGGTTTTCAATTTACAACTTACTGGAACTAGAATGTCCATTTATTAATATGTGCATCGTAGAGAAAAGCAGGTTTTAATTTTACCAACTCAAGGGAGCTTTACATTTTATTGCTTTATTATTGCTTATCATTTTAAAATAATAATTTAGTTTTTAAACATTTAAAAATGTTTTAAAAACTATTTTTAAAACAATCTTTTAAATATTATTACGTATTAATGCTTGATTTTAGACTTATTGAGACATGACATTTTCATAAAACTTTCAGAGTGTCTTATTCTTTTTTTTGTTTTTAAATAGAGACGGGGGCCGGGCGCGGTGGCTCAAGCCTGTAATCCCAGCACTTTGGGAGGCCGAGGCGGGTGGATCACGAGGTCAAGAGATCGAGACCATCCTGGTCAACATGGTGAAACCCCGTCTCTACTAAAAAAATACAAAAAATTAGCTGGGCATGGTGGCACGTGCCTGTAATCCCAGCTACTAAGGAGGCTGAGACAGGAGAATTGCCTGAACCCAGGAGGCAGAGGTTGCGGTGAGCCGAGATCACGCCATTGCACTCCAGCCTGGGTAACAAGAGTGAAACTCCGTCTCAAGAAAAAAAAAAAAAAAAAAATAGAGACAAGGACTTGTTTTATTGACCAGGCTGGTCTCAAACTCCTGGCCTCAAGTGATCCTCCCACCGCAGCTTCCAGAGTAGCTAGGGCTACAAGCATGCACCACTAATGCCCTGCTAATTTTTGTGTTTTCTGTACAGACGAGGTTTCACTGTGTTGCCCAGGCTGGTCAGTGATCCTCCTCCTCAGCTTCCCAAGGTGTGAGGATTATGGGCGTAAGCCACTGTGCCTAATTTTTAAACTCAGAAAGAAAATATTTTTAGCAGATCTACTGTGAGCAAGGGCCAGTAAGTACAGTGATGTAATGAATTATCTTCCAATTACTAGAGTATGAACCCATGAGAGCCTTTGAGAAATTAGCCCAGAAAATAGTATGGCTAGATTGGAGAAGTTGTTTTGGCATTAATTGGCTTCATTTAGAAAGTCTTAAAAGAGAGACTTCAGAATAAGATCATTCACGTTTTCCTTAAACATATCTTTCTACTATTAAATACCCTCTCCCCAAAGTCCTTACTAAAGTTTTGTTAATATGATTTTAAGCATGGCTTTATGAAGGATTTGTGACCATCTCTTTGATATATTCACTTGAAGTAGCAAATATAGAATCACTGCAGTGAATATTGCATTGTTAGGCAATTTAATTTTCATTATTAGCTTTTAGACAGCTAATCCAAATCAGGAAAACAATGATAAAGAAGCAGACTTCAAATTCATTAATATGAAATAAGCCCAGATTTCCCTCCCATTCGAGAATTAGATGCTTAGAAGAACAATACCTTTAGCTATAACTAATATGGAGGAATTTCATTTGTATCAAAATTCAAAGCAACCTAACGTGAAAGAGACGTTGTGCCAACTCTCCTGCATAAGCTCCAAGGCTCAGTGCCTTGCAGTTTCCAGTGAGTTTCTTGCAGTCTGAGTTTTGATCAGCAGTGAACACCTCAGTGCTTTTTCACTTCCTGGAATGGAGAGAAAGAAACTATCTATGAAAGACACCAAGTACTGGAGTTGATATATTCAGATAACAGTCCTAGATTTCCAGAAATCTTCAATGTAGAAATCAGACATTTTGTGCATATATATATATATATATATATATATTTTTTTTTTTT